CCAAGGGAGAGAAGCAGGGATTTCAGCCATTTTAGTTCACAAACAGTGGTTGCCATAGCCCTGTATTCGGCCTCAGCCGAAGATCGGGAAACGACACTTTGTTTCTTTGTTCGCCAAGATACCGGAGAATTGCCAAGAGTGATAAAGTAGCCAGTAACAGAACGTCGAGTCAAGGGACACCCAGCCCAATCAGAGTCACAGAAAGCTTTAAGGGTAAGATCACTCTGTACTGGAAGAAACAATCCTTGCCCGAGACAGGCCTTGATGTACCGTAGAACCTGGGTCGCCCCGTCCCAGTGTTCCTGCCGCGGCTCCCTCATGAATTGAGACAACACATGAACCGCATATGCCAAGTCAGGACGACTAATCGTGAGATAGATGAGGCGCCCTACAAGTCTGCGATAACGCTCTGGTTTAGTGAGAAGTGGGCCACTTGCTAGAGCCAGTCGTTGGTTCTGAGGAAGAGGAGTGGAAGCCGGTCGAGCACCCATAACTCCAGTTTCACAAAGTATATCAAGAGCATATTTGCGCTGGCAGATGAAAATCCCTTTCGAATTTCGGGCAACCTCTACGCCCAAAAAATATTTTAAAAGACCAAGATCTATCATATGAAAGCAATCAGAGAGATACCGTTTAAATTTGCTAATGAATTCTTCATTATTTCCTGCTATTACGAGATCATCCACATATACCAGCACACGAAGCTCGATGGAGCCGCGCAGAAGAGTAAACAGAGAGTAATCAACCTTGGTTTGGTGGAACCCAAAATGTTTTAACGCAGAGGTGAGTTTGGCAAACCAACACCGTGGAGCCTGACGAAGACCATAGAGGGATTTATGAAGCCGGCAAACCAATCCTTTACCGCGAGCATTAAACCCGGGAGGAAGAGTCATGTATATTTCATCGCCAAGGTCTACATGCAAAAAGGCATTATGAACGTCCATCTGATGTAGGAACCAGTTGCGGGCAGCGGCAACAGCTAAAAGAGTGCGAACAGTAACCAACTTAGCCGTCGGAGCAAAAGTCTCTTTAAAATCGATGCCCTCTTTCTGTCGGTTCCCAAGCACCACAAAAAGAGCTTTGTAGCGTTCAATGCTTCCATCAGACTTGTGCTTGATTTTATATACCCACTTGGATCCGATTGTTTTCCTTCCAGGAGGCAGGGGGACGAGTGATTAAGTACCATTAGCTTCTAATGCTTGAATTTCTTCCTTCATAGCTTGTACCCATAGTGGGTTTTTTACCGCCTCAGAAAAGAATGTAGGCTCAACATCTGCACTTATAGCTGCCAAAAAACATCTATGGGAAACAGAAAATTTGTCAGCGTTAATAAAATTTGTAATACAGTGTGCTGTACCTGAAGGCGTTGTTGGTTTGAGTGAATCAGGAGAGGGACGTTGAATGGTGTGAGTGACAAAGTCACGCAGTCGCGAAGGAGGACAACGTTCTCTTTCACTTCGGCGCAAAGTGTCTTGGGTTGGAAGGGTTTGGTTATCAAGGGTAGAAGAAGGCTGGACTAGGTCATCGGGTTGGCTGTTTGGTTCTGATGTTGCAGGGATTTCTGGATTGGATTGGAGTAACGGTCGACCGGGGTCCTGAGAACGATCCAGTGTTTCGACCGTCTGGGTGGCAGTGTCAGGTCTAGAGGGAGACGGTCGACCGTGGGTTGCTGGGCGGTCGGTCTTGTCGACCGTTTTGGTGGCAGATTCTTCACTGGGTATTTCTTCCTCAAAAAAATCAGCAGTGGGTTTAGGTTCTGTGAGATTAGGAGTATTTTGTGAATGGAAAGGAAAATGGTTTTCAAAGAACTTTACATCTTGACTGAAGAATATTTTATTATTGTCCAAATCGAGAAGGCGCCATCCTTTTTGGCTGAATGGATAGCCAAGGAAAACGCAGCGTCGAGAACGGGACTCATATTTGTCTCCATGGTGGGATTGATTGTGGGCATATGCAAGGCATCCGAAAACCCGGATATGACCATATGAGGGCGTTTTTTCATAGATCATGGAATATGGGGTTTTGCCTTTGTGTAGCTCAGAGGGTGTTCGGTTAATTAGATAGGCAGCGGTGAGAATACAATCACCCTAGAATTTAAGGGGTAGGTTGGCTTGGAAGCGAAGGGCTCTGGCAATGTTGAGAATGTGACAGTGATTTCGTTCGACTCGACCATTTTGTTGTGGGGTACCGACGCAAGAGGATTCAAAAATAATCCCATGATTGTCAAAGAAAGATTTTAAACAAGTGAACTCTGTACCATTGTCACTTCGTACAGTTTTCACTTGTTTATTAAATTGTCGCTCAATCATGGAAAAGAAATTACGTAAGACAGTAGGGGCTTCATATTTGTGATTTAATAGATACACCCAAGTTGCCCGAGAGAAATCATCAACAATAGTTAAGAAATATCTAGCCCCAGTGCGAGACGGAGTACGGTACCCACCCCATAAATCACAGTGAATCAAGGAAAAAGGAGTAATAGATTTATTCAGACTAATTGGAAAAGAGTCACGACATTGTTTTGAACGAAAACACACATCACAAGGGGAATCAGGGATATTGGTATTTTTGGGTAAATGGAGAAAAGTGTTGACAGTGGTGTAAGAGGGATGACCCAAGCGCTTGTGCCAAATGTCCAGATCCTTCGCCTCCTTCACAGTGCAGACTTTGTCCTTCACACCTTTCTTGAGATAATATAGTCCTTCAGCCTGCTCACCCATTCCAATCACCATCTTCGAGATATAGTCCTGTATAA